TCACATGATCATGTGTGTATCATTCTTGTGGTAGTCTTCTGCAAAATAGCAAGATCATTGGTTACAAATAATCGAGATATAGATAATGTATGACTATCTAAGTCGTATTCTTATAAGCTTATCCATAGATTCTCTATTTCCAAATTATGACTAACCTGAAACTCTATTATTATATTTTGTTGCTTCAGCTTATGCAATGCGCAATACTTCAATGATTTCTTGGATTCTTCATCGTCTTCTAGCGACTAAACCACTACTATCGTGCATTGGTTTTAAAGCAAGATCTAATTTTTCTTCTATCGCTTCACCAATATGATAATTAAGTTGCAAGTTCTCTTCATCATTGTTTTTCTTACCAGCTGAGTCTTCAACTAGTGTAACAAATTCATTCTTTTCAATATTTTGAACGACGGTGTTTGGGACAATAACATCTTCATGCTCTAGTTGTTGGGTGACGTCCAATATTCTAGGTGATATCCCTTCAGAAGAATTTATACCGCACTGTCGATATTCATGTTCCAATCACATAGTCATTGTAAAATTTAAAGATATTTATTTGTTCAAAATTTGTTAAAAATGAGTAAAACAAATAGTAGAACCTGTTGAGTCCTTGATTGTGAATCTTGTAAATTCGGGATTTCTGTTGAAATAGTTGACTCTTCCCCAAAACTCGTACCATTGTTGTGTTTTTCGGTCAATTTAGCATAAAGATCTTGTATTAACCCTGAACTTTCTTCTTCTTCATGGATCTCTTGATCACTTGAATTATCCACTGTTGAGCTGTTGCCTTTTTGGACTTGTAGAAATCTCACATTGCTACCATTTTCTATATTTATGTCGTCTTCAAGGAAAAACACAGTTAATTTATTGGTTTTCCTTTTTCTCGTATTTTGTTTGTCAACCTTACAATTAAATGACAATTTCGGAAGAAAAAAAAAACGTAGCCCAAGAAATATATCTACAAACAAGTTAAAAAATTTACGGGAACATACTAAACAACCAACTCAAATGTTAAAAGCTACAGAATTACAAATTTGTAAATGTTTTTTGATGTTACCATTCTCGTTTGGTCAGTTGAAATAGTGTCACGTTTTAGGTTATTAGAAAATTTAGTTAGTGGATTACCCGACATCTACATTTATCCTAAAAAGACTAATCATGTGATAAAAGCCCGAATCACCTCCTAGTTAGAAAAAAAAAGAAAAAAAAGTTGTCGAGCTCATTCAACAAAGTTAATAAATCTTGTTATTTTATACATTTTGAGATATTATAGATTTTTAAAACCTTTTTACTTTTATAATAAAGTTATATTTTTTAAAAATGTATGGTAATGGTATGCATACAAGTTCATTCTAAATCTAAAAATGAA